CCCTACCCACCTCTGTCTCTCATCTCCACATGTCTGTCTTCTGTCACTCCCTCGCTCCACTCCGTAGCTCAATTGCCCTGCCCCTTTATCACCCCTCATGCTGCGCTGGCAGAATTCCAAACCCAGGTGAAGCCAGTTCTCCCCCATCTGCATTTGCACCCAGACAGCTGAACAGGCCAGGCAAAGACCACAGCACGGCCTGCTCTCACCTGCCACTCCTCACTCCACTCCCAGGTTCATTCCTGTTCCCCCTCCCATTTGCCATTCCACCCATTTCCCTTTTCCTTCAGACTCCCTAGGTGTCCCTCCTCATCCTCAGCTACAGATGATCCTGTTTCCAGCTACCGTGGAAACACTAAAACAATCAGAAGGAGTGTTTGGTAGATCCCCACCTCCAGCACACGCACCTGGCTACTCTGCCTTCCTGTTTATCGCTAGGGATGAACTGGCCCAATCCCCTAAGGCCAGGCCCTCTGCTGCTGACTAAGTCCCATCTCCCTTTCTCAAGGACGAGGCTCTAACTTTTCTCTGCCTCTCCTACATCAGTTTTCCATTCTCCTTATCAGCAGTCACACCAACCAGTATCTCTCCCATCTTAAAGGACCTCTTCTCCATTTTTTCCTCCAGCTATTCTCCACATATTTGCTACTCTCATTAGCAGAATTTCTAGAAAGAGCTGCTTACACTGGCTTGCCATCTCCAGTTCCTCTCATCCGGCTACCTCCTGATCCTGCCCCAGTCAGGTTACCCTGCAACTCTGTCAGAACTACGTGAAGGTCACCAGTGATATACACCTCGCTCCGATCACTGGCTCTCAGTCCCACCTTCCAAGGTGCATCTGACTCCTCTGTCTTCCTAGAAAATGCTGTTATTTGTTTCCTGGACTTCTACAATCTCTTGATTTCCTTTCTTCTGTTGGATCCTCCTCAACTCCCCAGATTTTAAGGTTGGAGCACCCCACAGATCAGTCCTTTTCTCGTCTCCAGTTGTATTTTGTCTTAATAGTCTTCGCTATTTTGTAGCATTAAACACTACCTGTATGTTAGTGATCCCACATTTATACACCCTCCAGCAGGGACATCATCTTGAATCCATGTACCCATCTGCCTGTTCAACATGTCACCTGGAAGTGTAACCGGCATTTTAAGCTCAGCTTGTCCACAACAACTGTCCTGCTCTTCCCACAGGTTTTTGGGTTTTTTTTAAAAATTGTTTTTATTTGTATTTTATTTTTGTATTTAGGACAGGGTCTACAGGGTCTCACTGCATAGATCAGGCTCGTAGTAATCCACCTGTTTACAGCCTCCCAAGTGCTGGGATTACAGGCGTGCGCCACCAGGCCCAGCCTCAAGGGCCAGCACAGCAGGCCCGGAGATCCAACTCCTGGCCCCCGTGTCTGCCTAAGCGGGCGCTCTAATCTTCTGGGCTATTTGGCTGGCTCTCCCACAGGCTTTTCTGTGGCAGCAGCTGTATCTCCCAGTTTCTTTGACAAATGCCTTTTTCAGGCACCTTTATATCTTGTGCCATAATTAACTGTCCATTCAAAAATAACCCCAATCCTTCTCCCCACTGCTACCCCCTTGATTCCATCCCACTACCACGTAGCCCACCTTCCACACAGAAGCAAGCCAAATCACATTACTTTTCTGCCCAGAACCTTCTAGGGACTCTGTTTCTCTCAGAATAAAAGCTAACATCTTAGTTTTTGAGGTGCTGGGGAGTTTCAGGCTGGCACACTTTCGATCATCCTGTCTCAGCTTCTTCAGTAGCTGGGAATATAGGTGTGCACTACCATGCTGCCAAAGGCTAATATTTTTTCTTCTGGCTATGTTGGGAATTGAACCCACAGCTTTATGCATGTTGGGTCTAGCTGCAAAAGCCAACACCTTTACAAGGCCCGCAACATCCTGTAGTCTTGATCTCCTCCCACCACACTCCAGTCTCCTGCCCCAGCTACCTTGGTCTCTGGCACTAGTCTTCTCCTATGCTGCTCTTCCTCCATATGCATGGTCTCTGCCCTCCTCCACGTGTTAAATATCTCTATCTTGCCAGGGCTTTTCTTTACCACCCCTTTTATCTCAGCCCACACCCACAGGCACTCCCTGCCTCTTGCTCTATTTTCTTCAAAGACCTTGCCACCATAATACATAGGTAATAAATAATAAACAGCACTATAGAGCTTACCTACTTATTATGGTGACTGTCACATTTCTTTTCCTCTAGGTGATTAGTTCATGAAAATGGACACTTCTGGGGGGCCAGAGAGATGGCTCAGTAGAATAAGTACTTGTCTGGCAAGCGCAAGGGCCTGAGTTCAATCCCTGATTCCGCCAACAAAAGGAAAGAAAGAAAATGGACACTTCTGTCCCATTTACTGAGATATCCCAGAGCCCAGAACATTGTCTGGCACACAGGAGGAGCTAATACATATTTGGTGAATGAACCATGATTCTTCAAATGATTAAAGTCAGGATCTAGTAACTGGTGTGCTGGTATCTTTGGATAAAGAGGCTTTGTTTCTTACACATCTTCATTTTATAACAGCCAAATGTCATTCATTTCTATTCTGCCCATTTCTGAATTTGAGAAAGACTGTCTTATCTGGGTTCCGCAAGTTTATTGAGGAGCTTGAGTATACAGCATGAGGAAAGCTTTTAGGAGGCATGTACAGGCAGAGAAAATGAGCAATCCCACTGATAACAGACTGCACTGTATGTAAGGCAGTTGCTTAAATATCAGTTACACAAAGAGGCGTCTAAATCAGGTGTGGTGGCACATGCCTGCAATCCCAGCACCAGAAGGTTGAGGCCAGCCTGGGCTACATAAGCGAGTTCCAGGCCAGCCTGCACTACATAGCAAGACCCTGTCTCCAAAAAAACAACAACAACAAAAGGTGCCTAATAAATGCAATGTAGCAAAATAAAATAGCTTGCAGTAAAAATTGAAGGGAAGGACTTTGAAAGAAAGCCACAAGGAGAACTGAAGCCATACTCCTATACCAGCTCCAGCTTGGCACTCAAAGCTGCCTAGCCTTCCAGCGTCCCTTCTGCCATCACCTCCTGGTCCACACGTCCCTCTGGAAGCTTCTCGACAGTGCTGTGTCAGCACCCCTCAGCCCAGCTGCTGCCCTTCCAGATGCCTGTCTCCCCACCATACCATATAGACGCTGCCTGCTGTGTCTGGATGGCTCGAAGGCACAGCAAAGCTAAACCACCAGTTCCCTATTCCCAAGTCTAGGTCCGGTTTAACTCCTCTCACCTCATAGCCATTCAACAAAGCTGTGAACTGACTTACATTTCTTAAATTTGAAAAAAGTATAGAGCAAAACAAATGTGCCATCTAGTTTAATGTCAAAAATAACAAAAGTCACCTCTGTGGAATCACCTGCTAACTGGGTAAGACTTGCCAGTTGAAACAGGATCTTTCACTAGGAATTTTATTTTCTTATTTGAAGACTAAATATGGGGCCAGGGAGATGGCTCAATGGAATAAGAGCTTCCCTGGCAAGCGCAAGGACCTGAGTTCAATCCCTGGTCCCCCCCCCAAAAAAGCCTAAACTATGGCTGGCTTTGCCTCAAGAAAGCATGTTGCTTGAGGAAATTAACTTTGTTTTCTGGAGCAAAGTTGCTTATCTCTAAAAGAAAATTAATAATAATCACAAACTGAAAGGCACTGAGACCCCACCAGAAAGGTTCTGTACAAGCCTAAACTATCAAATCCCAAACAGGCAGTTCTCACAGTAAGAACAAACATAAATAATACCTCATTGCTGCCCTAAGATAGGTAATTCTTTTTTTCCTTCTGGGGAAGCTCGCTAGAGAGAGATCCAGCCCAACTGCTCTCATCACCAAGGAAGAAAATGTTAAGAGGAGCTATAGCCCTTCGCATAGGAAAACAGCATTTGTAAATTACCTGTAGCTGTAAAAAGATCTCTGCCTTTTCAATTTGTGGTGACAAATTAAGAAGTTTTTTATTTCTGTTTTTTTAATATAGTTAGAAGTTTTAAAGAAAAATCTCTTTTCCAGGCAATAAAAGCATTGTTTTACAGCATTACTGACTAAAGTTAAAAGCCTATCAATGTGGAGCCAGATTATAGGTCCATTATTGGAATATACCATATATATTGGGATCTCCAATCTCATATATATTCCTCTATAGTGTGTACATGCTCAGTGAAGCCAACCCCTCACCAAAAATCCATGTTCTTTCCTTTTTTTTTTTTAATCTCTTATTTACTTGGTACAGGGTCTCACTATGCATCTCTTGGACTCAGTGATTCTCCTGTCTCAGCCTCCCCAGCGCTGGGATTACAGGTATGCGCCACCACGCCTGGTTTCACTGGCCGGCATGCGGTACTTGGGATCAAACCCGGGTCCTTGCCCTTGCCAAGCAGATGTTTAGGCTGCTGAGCTCTCTCTCCAGCCCACTGTTTCCTCTTTTTACTCCTCTGAGTTCTTCCAACCAGAAGACCTAATGGGGCTGGCAGCACCTCCTTTCAAGCCTTGATCTTCACCAGCACCTACCACTCTCACCCTACTTTTCCCATCTCCCACCCCGCCAGCCCAGAGGTCTTCATGAGAGCCTTCTTCAATCGTAGCCCAGTCGAGTCCTGTTCCAGTGTGCTGCAATAAATAAATACATCTCTAAATGTGAGAGGAGTAGCCTTGCTGCATGTGCCCAGTTACTATAAGAAACCAGTAGGCTAAAGGCTAAACAATAGCCTAATAAGGCTAAAAAGCCTGTCCTCTTTCAGGTCTCTTGAACCTATGAGGAAAACAAGCAAATATGACCACAGTTTGGATTTCCTGTGGCAATAAATAACATCAAACAAAATAACACTCCAGAAGATGACGTAACCATTAGCTGGGGAGTCACACTGAGAACAGTGTACTTCCTTTCTGGGACTGCAGTGTATTTCAAATGACAGTTAATGGGCAACTGCTGTTTTTCCAGCTGCTACCAATAAACCTAGCAGTGAAGGATATTTTCAAAGCACCCACCTTGTTCAGGACATCTCGCTGGCAGCCAAGATAAAGATTGGGAAGAATTCTGGTTGGCCCAGTGTTGGCAACAGGTAAGCAAGGCTGAGAAATGCAGGTAGGGACTAGAGTAGATTTTCCTTCACAGAGGCCAGGGAAACAACGAGAGAACTCAGCAAACCCACCTGAGAATAAACATTATAAGATTATGCCAGGAACAAAGTAAAAATCAGCCTTCTGTGACTCGGTGGCGAAGCTGTTTCAAACAGAAAAATCAAATCTCACATATTCAGGTGGATACCGCTGTGCACAAATTCCTCTTACAGCGTCCAATGCTAAACCTGATGTGTTATCTATCCAGCACCGAGCTCGGCATGTGAGGAGGCCACAGCATGGGTGTGCACGTCTGAAGGTGCCCTCGATGTCTCACAGGCCCTGTGACACTCACTCCCACTTCCCATCCTCCTGCAAACTTCTTTTTGTGGAACCTTAAAGAGGGCAAGTCGATGGCAGCTAGCTAGGCCAATTAGTCATAGAAACAAAATGAGGATATTTTAAAAATGTGACCTTGTCCTGACTTCCTATTTATTGCTCTTCTGTTCTGCAGTCACATTCTCAGTCTCTCTGTCTCTGTCTCTCTCTGTGTCTCTGTGTCTCTGTCTCTCTCTCTCTCCCCCCCTCCCTCCCCCTCTTACCCCCCCATATATGATTTCTCATATATGGGAAACACTGTGATATTTGAGCTCGTATGTCTGATTTATTTCACTTAACATTATGTTGCCAAGTTGCATCCATTTATCTATAAATGCCTCAAATTCATCTTTCTTTATGGCAGCACAGTACAATACTGTGTATAAATGCCACAAAGTACATATTCTATTGTTTTAAATATATTTCAATATATATTCAAATGTGTTTCATATATATTACTAGCTGAAAAGTGTTTTGTTTATCTGGAATTTTGGTAAAAATCTTTTTGGTTTATGTCTTGTACTCTGAGTAATTACTTTGATGATAATAATATACAGTGCAATAACTACTCTTATTCTCTTTTGGTTATGAAATTTTATTTTTTCATAAAATAAAAAATAAAAAGTTTTAAAAGTGTAAACCAAGACTGAATTATTTCTTCAAAATAAAAATTTTCTAGAATTCACTTTCATTCCACCATACATATTTTTTCATTTCAAAGATATGAAAAACTTTCACCTCTGCTCTTAGAAGTAGCCTATGAAGTCCCTGGTATCTGCAGGCAAGTAAACAGGGTTAAGGGTCCCATAGTTATCACTGATGTCTGAAGATATGTTCATTTTGCTAAACACTGGAAAGAAGTGCTGACCAACCCCTTCTGCTTTGAGCACAGGAAGTTCTTGTGTGAAGACTCCTGGACTCAGAAGAGTTAAGCTTTATTCTAGCCCTGACTTTCCAAGGATCAGCTCTACGGCCCTCCACAAGTGGAATCTCGCCACCCCTCCAAAGTGGAAGCTGTGTAGCTGAAGGAGGCACACTCATGGCCTCTGGAAAAAGTATGAAGGTGATCTTTTCCTGGGTTTCCAATCTAAATATTCCTTCTATCTGAATTTGAACCCAGGAACCAAATAGATTCTCACACACTTTCACACACATCCCTTGCTATTCATATGCTCACTGCTTAATAAGCCTGAACTCAGGAACCAAGATTTCAGTTATCCGGAATGCTTAAAATTCACATTATTATTAATTTATAATACTGCTCAACATATTAATGTAAGAAACAATGTTAAATCCTATTAGAAGAAAATACAATCTCACTTTTTACAATACCTCTTTAATTGAGCCTTAAAGAAGCTGACAGAAAGAGAAAGCTTTAACTATTATGTTCACCTCAAGCATAACCCAGCGGGACTCCAGGGTCTCGTGTCCGTGCTCAGTGCGGGCCCAAGACATGTGAGCTCGGGTGGCAGGAAGCTGTGCCACCCTTGCAGATGATCAGAGTATACTCCTGGCCTCCAACTGGCTAATTATCTGCATTTTAAGTTCTTAAACTTACTGAAGTTTTTAAGATAATATATATGATGGACAGAGTAGGTTCATTATAGAAATCAGAAACTTCTCTGTGTGGTGGCCGAGGCCTTGCGGTTGGGTACCTGCAGTTTCATCTCTTAGGATTTCCAAACCTGGCCTTCAGCCATACAAAACTCATGGCTACTTCCTGCCCGGGAATGCCACCCTGGCGCGCCCGTGTGCAGCGCGTGGAGGCCACAGCACACGCGCACAAGCCCCGATCACATGGCAGAGTCAGCAAGAGCACAAGCTCCTTGGCCTGCGCTCTCACCCTGGCATCACCACTTTCCTTCTAGTCGTCTTGTCTGGCCCTCCTGGCTCCCGCCTTCCTCATCTATGGAATGAGTGTGTCAGTCACAGCTACCTCACGCTGTTGAGAGGCTTAGCTAGCACATCGAGTGGGCTGTGTGGAGCACAGGCGCCAGCGATGACTACTGCACTGCAGTGTCTGGAGGTGCAGGGACCAGTGTCCTCTGTGAGGCCTTCCTCCACTCTTGATCTGCAGCTCATTTTTTAGCTACATCTCCCTAGACACCAAGTAAAAAAAAGCAAGCCTTGTAAGGTTACCTTCCCCAGAGTGTGTTCCACAGCACTGCTATCCTACAAAGAAAATGTAATATTTGTCCAGAAAAGTAAGAGAAATACTATTTTTCCTATCTCTCTCTGGGAGAGTCACAGCACTCAATACTATGTTCAAGGATCCAAAAATATCTTCAAAGAAACGGGTTTATTTAAGCTAAATAAACTTCCAAATTTATTTGACCATGGAATTTCCTCTAAAACCTGTTCATTGCTGTGCAGTTCAAACTTACAGCAAGGACTGGGGAGATAGTTCAATAGAACAAGAGCTTGCCTGGCAAGCACAGGGTCCTGAGTTCAATCCCTGGTACCGAAAAAAAAGGAAAAAAAAAAACCTTTCAAACTTACAGCAATGCTAGACTATGGCCACTGGAACTACTAAACGGAGTCGATGAGAACTTCTGTACTCTAAGGACAGCCCACAGTCAGTCTCAAAAAGGGGACCAGTCAGTACTGGTATATGAGTGCCCAGTGTTTGGATTTAGTTTTATTTCTATAAATATTTTGCTCCTTTTCAGTTTCTCTTAATTATATAATACAGTTGTTGTTTAAAGTGTAATTTTTCCACTCAAGATAGTTCTACCAATAAATGGCAAAGGTTCTCATCATTTTTCTTTATATCGACCCAATATAACTGAAAGTCACTGTTTTGATTATAATTAATTGCATAATTTTAAGTTGTAACATTCATAAAATTAGGTGATCCTGGTAGTTTGGTACAGAACTGTCCTCATATATTTTTCTCTTCTGACTCTGCAGTTAGTTCATGGGATGGACTGTCACTTAAATCTACCAAAACAAACAAACAAACAAATATACCAAAACAATATTTCAGTAAACATTCTTGGGGAAAGAGAAACCAGAGGATCCAAGGAAATTCCACTTGAATTGGCTTTTAAAAGTACTCACATTTATAAATTATATAATCATGGAATAATCATAGAATTTACTGAAAATTTACTATGACAAGCAGTGCTTTAAATACAAGTATTTCCTCAATCTTCACAATTTCCCCATGATGTAGGTACCATTATCATTCTCCTTTACAGGTAAGAAAAAAGGGGTAAAAATCATACTGTGTAATATTTAGCAGAGCTAAAACACGTGTACTTCTCAGTCCTGTGGAGTTAACCCTGCTCTCTCCTGGATGCAGGGACAGCTTTGCCCATGTCTATGGGGTTCCAGCCCACCACTGTGACCTGACAGTTCTCAGGACCAGTCTAACAGTGGTCATGCCCTCTCCCAAACTGACGGAAGATTGGTTTCTCCAAAAGCATATGGTGGTACAAATGTTTCAATGAGAAAAAAGAGAAGGGGGTCTGACATGATCAAAGATATGAGACTCTTTAAATATACTCTGCATGTAACCCTTATCAAAGTTTACATATGAACTAACTGAAATGTTAATGGTCACTGGCTTGTTCATTAGTATAGTTTGCAAGTTGGTAGCAAAGCTGCATCTCAGCTTTCAAGCACCCTCTGAAGAACAAATTGTGGAGAGAAACAGTTCCATAACAATCATAAACTCAGCCAGCCAGGCTGGCTGTTCAAGGTCCATCCAGGTCTATCACTGATTAGCACACAGATCTTAGATCACTAACTTCAGGGTGCCTCAAAAGTGAATGTGGCTCTAGAAAATTTCATGATAGGGAGCAGAAATCAATCTCAGAAAAAAAAAATGCAATCTCAGAAAAAGAAAAGCGCCAAACCAAACAACACTTTTTTTTTTTTTTTTTTTTTTTGGGGGTACCAGGGATCAAACTCAGGACCTTGCACTTGCCAGGCAAGCACTTAATCCACTGAGCTATCTCCCTGGGCCAAACAACATTATCTTGTAAAACACATTATCAACAAAACAAGAACCCTCTTGTTTACAGATATTTTCAACTGATATCTAAGACAAAAACAAAGTCAAATATTTAAAAATATTTAGCAGATTTAAATAAAATTTCAGTCTGGCTTAAAATGTCCCAACCTGTAGTTTCCCGTGACTTCCAGAAAACACTAGCTCAGCCAAGAACACATGTGCCCCAGTCTGTATCTCTGACCACGTTCCACCCTGCAGCCATCCTTCATTGACAGCTTTTTCCATTCACTGACCTTTCATTCAGTGTCGTGCTCTAGTGAGTCTAGTTTCATTTATTAACAACAGATGAGATGCTGCCTGATTTCCTCTGAACCTTTTAAAAACTATCAACTCAGTTCAGAAATACAGTAAAGTATATCAAAAAAGACAACGCTTTTCCTTTCTTTGGTTCTCTTAAGAGCTACAGCAAGAGAAAAGCACTCTGTTGCACAGGGCCGATGGATGCACAGCAGAACTCTGGCGTGCTGCCCTGTCTTAGCTCTGCACCAAGCTCTGCCACCCTGTGGCCTCCATGGGAGGGTCCCTCACACTAGAGTATCAGGTTGCTACCCTCCTTCGCCTACAGCCAAAAGCCAAAGGAAAAAACTGATAAGCTTCTTGAAAAAGCTTGCAAATATTTTTAAAAGTTGTTCAAGGATCCGTTATACTGTTCTGTCTTACCAAGTTTCTCCTGTCTCTAAAATGTGTGTTTATCCT